TTCCTGTGAACAGCTCATCATTTCCTTACGGAATAGCACCTGGGACACCCACCTGGAGGTATTCTCCTTTTTCATCCTTTTTATGGTGCAGCATAAAGAAACACAATAATGACGATCAGTAATAATTTTACCTATCCCCCTTTATTGTTGAAGTAACCTAAGGGACCTCCCAGCCCTGCCCAGGTTTCCTACTTCTCTTTTCAGCATAGCCAAAGGAATCCTTCAAAAATGTAAGGCAGATCATATCTCTCCTCTTAGGAGCCTGCCAGTGACTTCCATTCTAATTCTAGAGAAAACCCTTGTAATTCTAGACACACCTTGGTAAAACCCTAGCTGAAATGGCACCTGCGTTCTTCCACACACTGCTGACCTTTCTGCTTCTTCATCTGGCTAACTCCATGTGCTTCAACCACAGATTATTCTTGTTGGCCAAGCTCCTGGCTTTAGGGATTTAGCATTTCCTTTGTTCTCTTCCTGAATCAGTGTTCTTCCCAAAATCTGCACAGGCCTTCTCACCTCCTTTAGGCCTCCCCCAGCCTTCCATCCAACTCCATTTCGGATGGTAGCTTCATCTCCACTTTGTACACCCTGTGCCTCTGGCTCCAGTTTTCTCCTTGGTACTTCTCATTGTCTGATGTACTGTGTAATTTCACTTCCTGTCTTCCCTATTAGAATTTAAGTCCCATGAGGCAAGCAAGGGCCTAGACTTGGTGGCCCATAGTAGGCATTTTGATATTTCTTGCATAAATGATGATAACTGTTTATCAGGTGCTTCCTATGTGTTGTGCATTAGTCTAAGCACCTCACAGTTTGCCTTGTTTTATCCTTTGCACAACTTTATGGGGCATGTAATGCTATTCTCATTTCACAGATGAGGAAATAGCTCTGCAAGTTATGTAAGATGTTCAGGTCATAAACAAAGGTAGCACTTGGCTGTTAGAGCTCTGCAAAACAGCAGAACCAGTAGGAGATACATATGTGGACATGGATGTCTTTATAGAGAGAATTCATTATCTTTATGTCTCTATAGACATCTATTTCTACAGAGACAGTGTGTGCAGAATGATTAGAAGGAGCTGGCTCATTTCATTATGGAACTGGACAGTCTCAAGTCTTCACATTGGCTAGATCCAAGGATGCTTTGGTGCTGACTTCTGAGTGTGTAGCTGCAAGAAGGCAGAATGCCATCTTAGGAGATCAGTCACCTTTACCCAAAGTCTACTGACTTAAACATTAATCACATCTGTAATCTCAACTACTCAGGCAGCTGAGGCAAAAGGACTGCAAATTTGAGGCCAGCCTAGGCAACTTGGTAAACTGTGTCTCAAAAAGCGGAAGGGTTGGAATATACAGCTTAATGGTAGAAGGCTCACTTAGCATGTATAAAGTCCTGAGTTCAGGCTCTGGTATCATTTTTATTGTTTTAGCCTATCACATCTAAGAACTAACTTGGTAGCATCATCAAGGCTGGCGTCAGGTCGCCCCTGGCCATGTGGCCTACCCTTTCCTACCTCGCCCTCGAAGAAGAAGTGTTCGATGGGCCACTCTTGCTCCTTCATCACCCAGTGATGACTTCTGTCCTGGAAAGGGGTCAGCCACCCTACAGGGTTCTGGTGTGCAGGCAGGAGTTCCCCCGCCTAGAAGCTGTTCTGACATGAAGACCGCTTCACACCCAAAGGGTTCTCTTCCTTGTGTGAGTAGCAAACTGAGCAGCCGCCTTCCAGCCCACCTTCACGTCTCTCCCTTTCTCTCTCTGGAAACGTCTTCCTTCCTCTTCACTCGTTCTGAGATAGGGTCTTGCAGTGTTGCCCAGCTAGGTTGGCCTTGAACTCCTAGGCTATAGGGATCCTTCTGCCTCAGCCTCCCTAGTAGCAGCAACTACAGGTGTGTGCCACTGCACCCAGCTTTCTCTTTTTACTGGTGTATTTATGTATAAGAATGGAAGTGCCCTGTGCCCATTGGCTGAGCTGGACCCTGTGCCGTTGTGAGATGAAGAGGGCATCCTGTTGAAACCGTGACTTCCAGCCTCAGGTGTTTCTGGAAGAGGACTGGGCACTCTTCAAGTCGAGGGACTCCTGCCTCATCACCAAGAAGTGAGGGGAACTTGAGCACCTGAGACTGCTCTTCGGCCCTCGGATGGACCAAAGAATGTCATGTGGAAGGCTGCAGGTGCCCCGAGGTCCACGTTGTTATTGCCATGTTGCACACACCTGGTTTTCGTGGTAGAAGAAGAAAACAGGAGTTCTCAGTGTGGAGCACTGTGTTCGTTACTGTTCTTCCATCTTCCACCGTGAAGGGATTTGGGGTATGTGGGTGATGTGTGTACACATGGGTAATGATCCTGTGAGAGGTATTTAGTTCTTCAAATTCTTTGTTCCCTTAACATTTCCCTTGTTAAAAGCAATCTACATTTATACTTATTTGGATTACATTTATATTATTTTCATCCCATTCACATAGAATACACCATTGTCAGAGTTAGCACTTTTTTTTTT